CGATTCTTCATCTTCACTAACTCCCATGTTTGACTATGGTGTTATGTGGTTTTACACTACTCACATATGCTCCATTCAGGCTATTGGATTCTTGTTTTTTATACCTTCATTTTCTGAAGACATAACTTTCTTATCCTTCTCAACTGTGTTCACTGTCATTTGGGTATATATTACAATTGATGATGCCTACACACTCTTTCGCTGTACTTATTTACTTCTCTCTCCAGACTGGACATTTCTTTTGGCTACTTGGGAAGGTGATCATTCTTTTACTTTTGTATCTCCTTTTATTCTATTTCTCACTTCTATGCTTGTTCAGACCCTTGTTGTCTTCTGTGTGCAGTGTTATTTAGCACAAATGTCTCATTTTCAGGATTCCCATCATCATTTGTTTCTGCCATGGGACTTCTCTTTGTCTAGAGACCTGTTACCTCCTACACTTATTTGGATGTGTTTGCCAACTCCTCCAGGTGGTGTATTCTTCCCTGGATATTGATGCTCACATTCTTTTTCTTGTTTTGTTGCATAAAATTCATAACCTATCACTTTTTCTTGCATCTAATTTTCACCAATCCATGGATGGGATCCTTCACACTGGCATGTGGATGAATCCGCACATTTTTATCTCCCATTATCTTCATCACTTAGTTGTTTCGTCTTCTGCAGGATTTCAACTCCATCTGGTTGCATTTATTCAGTCTACAGACCATATCTGAGAAGGGTAAGAAGATTTTCTTTTTCACCACCCTCTTCCCTATTATAGCATTTAGCCAGGTGGCTGGTGTTGCCTACTAGAATATGCTTATTTTCCAAAATCTGCATCAGGCTATGACTAATGGAAAGCATTCAACCTACCTGCTCTAACTCTACCAGTGCCCACTGCTCAGATGGGGCATTCTACCAGACCACTAGAGTATCCTAATGGTATTAAACTTACTGAATTGCCCAATCCAAGCTGTACCATTCCATGAACTATCATTGAAAAAGCCATCACCAAGGAAGTGACTGGCCACTTCTTTGGCTTGTACTTGCTGACTTTTCATAATAGGGTTTCTCAGTCACTCATTTCACTGTCTTAAGCAAGTATCTCAATGTGATTTCCTCCCCATTCTTTTAATGTAGCATGGGAGACCCTTGCCACTTATTTCCTAGTCACTGGGGTGGCGGACCTAGGAGAGTTCCTTACTGATTATGTACAGTACAATATGGTGGGAAGTAGGACAGTGGTGGCACTGTCACCCCTCAAATAGCTAATGTGTCTTCCTTCTATTGCAGGATGGGTTTGTCACCCTTATATGTGTCTGTTTAGTTGAGTTAGACACACATTGTAGTTCTGATTGCATTCTAACCACACTACACTTTTTGGTTCACTGACCACTTGTTTAATGATGCTTGGTTAGTCATGTTAAAATTCTGCCCATACTTGTGAAACTTGGGGTTCTTATACTTTTCCCTATGGTTGAGATGAGATGTGGTTTCCCACAGGTGTACCTCTATAGATCCCCTGCCATCAGGTGTTGCATTGTATGGGCTTTCCCTTTAGGTACTTTTGGAAGGGAGCTGATTTAGAATTAATGTTAGCATGTGCCCCTCCACCTATTTCAGCGTGGGAATAGAGCTATTCTGCGTGAAGAGATGAGGTATTGCCTCAGAAGTTCCATTTTCCTTACCTATGCACATCTTTCCACCTGTACTTCCCATTTCTGATGCATTTTCTTCTTGCTTCATCTACGAATGAAGTTCTTTTTGGATGCATGGGCTTTGGGGGAGTAACTGTGCAAGGAGGTTGTGTCACCCTTCTATTGGTGGAGGACTATCATTGCATGACAGTGTCATTATGCACTAGCACATTTGATGTTTAACACTTAATTTTTAGGTGGGAGTTAGGTTAAGCCCAGTGGTATGCAAATCTCTTATGTAAAGACGTGAGGGATCAAGCTATTCTATGTGAAGGGATGTGTATCAATTAGAAATACATTTTCAGTCAAGGAAAATATTAACTTTAAACTCCAGTTTGTGATTCTTTATACTATACAGGGCATCACAGACAGCAGAAAAAAATGTTCTTTATTGTAGAATGTAGCACATTTTTCAAAAATTAATAAACAATGTTTTGCATTGTAGAACGTGACATAGTTATTAATAATAAATAAATGTTTTGTATTGTGGAATGTGACAGAGCTCTGAATATTAAATTGATGTTTTGTGGAATAGGATACAGTTGTTATTAATAAATAAATGTATTATAGGATGTGACAATTGTCAGTAGTAAATAAAAATGTTCTATGTTGGGTTTGCAGAGTCATCAGCATTCACAGGATCTACAAGAGTCACCAGAAAGAGAAAAAACTGAAATTTTCAAAGTACAAAGAAATATAAAGAGTCCTGTCTCTTCACAGAAGTCTAGTGTTGCTGACAAAATTTCTTGGTACCTTGAGGCATTAGATCAAGGAGTCCTTGCTAAAACATGGCCAGGAAAATGTCCAATCAGCACAAGCAGGCTAGTGCATACTAATAGTCAGTTATCTCTGTCAACCAGTTTTGGGTCCATTCAGAGGGAACAGGGAGATTTGTTGGATGGTCATTTCGATAAGTTTACTTTCCAGACAGATCCTTTCAAGCCACATCTCCTTAAAGACAATCATGCACAGTCTAGACTTCGTACCATGAGGTGTTATAGTCCACCACGAAGGATAAAGTCAATTCATGCTCGAAATAATGTGAGTAGTTTTCTTTCAATTGCATGTTGTTTAATAGTTTGTCAGAATTAAAATGAAATAAAAAAATAATTCAAAGTGAGTTACTTTCTGTGCATATTTGTATTATAATGTAGTTTCTTAAGTCAGTTGTTCCCAAACTAGGTTTTACGAAATTGTTTCTGAAAGGTTTTAGGATATGTAAAAATATCCTTTAGAAGCTTCTTTGACACCAGACAAATCACTAGTTTTGGCAAGAATTATCTTTATTGCAATAAATATTGCTTTAATATGTTAGTTATATTCAAGTTTTTTTTTGAAGGAACAAGTGACTCTCATAGTGACTGTTATTTAAATCATCAGGTGAGGATCCTCAGATCTTTGGGTCTCAAGCTGAAAGTTTGGAGGATCCCTGTCTTAGGTTACTTTTCTTGGACTATCAAAACTTTGATCAGCTTGAAATTATGATTAGTTGTCAGTTATGTATTTATGGGAGAGCTGGGTTATTTATTCAATATATAATTGATAAGCAATGACCATCATGTTGTCCAATCTATTAATCAAACTTATGATTTAAGTGATTAATGTCACAAAAATAATCAAATAAAAATTAGTGTTTCTAATTATTAATATTTTCAGTTATTTCAATAATTGATTAATTGAAATTATGATTAAATTGATTGCCACAAAATAATCAAAATTAGTTCCAGTTATTCAAGTAATTACAATACAGTAATACCTCAATATACAAAGTAGATGCATTCCTGGAGCTTTGTTTGGATATTGAAACTTTGTAATTGAATAATTTATAACATTACTATGAAGATGTGTTCTCAGCCTTCATAACTTACCATTTCATACTATAAACACCTCTTAATTTACCATTAACTTGTTTTATTAAATGTATATTATTCTAAAACAAGTGGACTGTGTGTTGCTTGTTTATTGACATTTATTACCAACAAGTCACAGACACCTATTGTAAAGAATCTTACCCAACACATTAAACTTGACAGCAGAGATGAATGTTAACAAACAGTATATGACCATCTCGATGCACAACACTTAACTTTCTCAACACGTAGTCAGGTGAATTGACCGACCATGTGATCACTTTGTACTTCTTATAGTTTTGATACCACTAATTTTTAATATAGTATGTATATCTTCACAAAATATGGCAGTCTTTCAGTAAACATTACAAGTGTTTTATATGCAAAAAAATCAGGTTTTTTAATGAAGTATTTTTCCTAAAGAATTGTCTGTGAATATATTGTCTTTTTTTTAGTAGTCCAAGTGCAAAGTGATTTTCATGTTAAGATTAAAAATTCTTCCAATACAATACATATCTCCTCTCACACAAAAGCTTTTCCTGATCTTCATCTGCCCTCTAATGCATTAACAAAATGTATTCCTGCTTGACTCACTAGCCTTTATACTCCTCAGTTCAAGCTGCTCATTTAGCATTCATAGTACATGCAATGACCCTCCATCAATAGAAGCATGACACACACTCCTGGATCAGCTGGCTCCTTCTATGTTATTTTTTGGATACCTCACTTTCTTGATTGGCACTATATAAGTTGGATATTTTTTTTCTTAATTTCAGTTTTCAATACTGACTACACATAATATATTTTTAATGTGTGTGCTTTTCTTCTACCTTGCATTATGTCATGATACAGGTTTTCATTCTCTGTTTCACAGACATTAATGTGTTTTCTACATTTCCGATTTCTCGTGATTCCCACCATGGTTATTTCTGTTTCTGGGAGCACACTTTTTTCTTACACAGGCCATGGAATTGATGTTAGCTGCCTAGGTGGTAGGAGCCCTAGTTTGTCGAGTGTTCACTTCCTCCATGTGGCCTGGCCGTTATTATCCACGATGGCTGAAGCATATTCCAGCTTTTATGTATATTTGAGACATGGGTGATTTTGCTAGTTTTATTTTTTTTTTGATCCAGTTGCCGTACCTGCAAGTTTTTCAATTTGTCCTTCTCCTTCTTTTCTCCTATTACTTCTGGCTCCCCCAGTGGCTTGAAGGTAAATATCTTGACTTGTATACTACAAACTGTGTTGCTATATCTATGGTAGGCATGGCTCGGGTGTCCATTTTGTGGCTTTATCCTTATTTCCACACTTGAGCATTCAGTATTTCATGTCATCGTTGTTCTGATTTTGGTAAGTTGGATATTTATATGTACTTTGTTGTCTTCATCATTTTCAATAGATTGTTGGTTAGATATTAGTTGGTATTTTGTTTTCTTGGTATATTTAGACTGTTTGTAAGTTTGATATTATTCATTCATTTGTTGACTAGATGCATTTTGATGGTTTTTCAGTTTGGTATTAATAACTACTTTGTTCACAAGGTGTATTTAGCTGGTTTATAAGTTATATGTAAACAATATACATGACCGGTACTTTATGGATATCTCTGTAATAGTAATTACAATAATTATAAATAATATTCATTATACATAAATAAATAAATAGTAAGTTACTTATAATTGTAATTTTTTTCAATCATTATTAAATATATGTCTTATAATTCTCATATTAGTAAGTGTTAGACATTTTTTTATTATTTTCATTGCTACATCTCTGATGTGTTCCTTTATTTATGTTTTGTAGGGCTGAGCTTTGCTTTGGCTCTAATTCCTCTTTTTTTTTATACTAAACACTAGTTTTTCTCCATGTAATCTACAATTTGGGGCCCATCCCCACAGTACCCATATTGTAGTTATTTCTTTCTCGCAAGCAGTTAGTTAATACTTGTCTTATTTTGTTGTTTTCTCTCCTTTCAAATGCTTTGTAGCAGTTTCAAGAATACAACAGTGTTTTGTATTCTAATTTTGGTGTTGTTTTCATAGTGGTTCAGGGGGTTCATGTGCCTCGCTTCCCCTGGAATTTCTTTATACATGCTTTCGTCTTTCAGGGCATGGCTGTTCTATTTGGCCTTTCCCTACTTCCCTGACTCATTTGGTGTTGGGTTTTGTTGGGATGAGACATGCTACTTGTAGGGATTTGTCTCCCTACTTGTTCACTCTGTGAATTCAACTGGATCCATTTAGCCTGTTTTACATATTTTAGGTCCCATATCAAGGTGGCCATCTTATTTACTTCCATTTTGTCTTTTACTTGCATCTCGACATTCTTGCCCCTTTTCCTTGTTTTCCCATGCCAGTCTTGGATGTCAACATTTGCTCCTGGAGGAGACATGTCATGTGTTTTGGTTCTTCAATATGAGGGATTTTCTCTTTTCTCTGTTTTTGATTCTTTTCGGGTTAAATCTTGTGGAGACTTGGTTTCTTTGTTTTGTCAACTTTTGTGATACCTTCACTTCCATTCCATGGGTTCTATGGGGTTTTCAGAGTGTGGATCTATTCACTACCAGTGGCCATCTCGATTATTGTTTACCATTTCTTTCCTTCCTTCAAGGGATCATGTCTCATGAAGCTGGTTGCCCACTGTTGGGTGACACCTTCTTTTACTGGGAGCTATAGTGCCAGTTTTTCCAGTTCACCCGGGATTCTTCCTCTGAGCCTTTAGTTGTCCCCTTCTAGGCTGACATAGGAGGCCTGTAATCAACATCTCCTGTCTCCTTCAGTCTCTGGTTCTTCCTTGTTCCAGCAGGGTATTGTTACAGTCCCTTCACTGGGTTCTTAGATCTTGTCTGTGGGTGTCCTTGTTCGACATAGTAGTTGAATCCCTTCCTGTATTCTTTTGGTCTCCCAATTGGGGAGTGTATTTTTCTGTTCTGAGCTCTTCCATTTGGGTTTCCCTCAGATATTTTCCATGTTTTCATGACTAGTTACGAACTCTGTTGGTGGTCTACCAGTGTCAGTCATCTGGTCTCATCTTTCTCAGGACAAATGGTTTCCAACTTCTTCTTGTCTTCAGTCCACATCAATTTGCTCCTGGAGAAGACATGTCATGTGTTATGGTTCTTCAATATGAGGGATTTTCTCTTTTCCCTGTTTTTGATTCTTTTGGGGTATTT